CTCTGTAACCCTCACGGAAATCAAGGATATCATAGAGGTTAAAAAAATTTAGGAAAATGAAGGAGGTGACTGTGGAGAGGAAAAGACAACTATCGATGCCTAAACTTACACCCACACCCTATTTACCACTATTCAGAATCCTTGATTTTTCCTGAATTGCGAATTTCTAGATCGTGAGTATATCACCTCAGTAGATAATAGCGAAATCATGATAAATTTTATGCAAGAAGAATTTGAACATTCTTTGGAGGACTGAACTTCTCTCCTACTGGTCTAGTTATTCATTATAAATCATTAGAATAGTATAAGAAGAACTTCATTCGTTTTGCATAGAGCATTATGAATCATACAATGAATTAAATAGAATTGGTTTTAATAAGGAATTAAAATATTATTATTATGTCTATATTAAACAAAAACAAGATCTATATGTGTATATAATGTTTTGCTTGAAAATAATACATCTCATAATATTTTATAATATTTTTGAATAAAATATTTCAAACATCTACAAGATTAAATTCACATAGAATTATTTGGTTAATAAAAAAATTCTAATACGTAATTGAATCTTCGGAGGTTTACGCCAACAAAAAATCATTTTTATTTAGGTCATACTGATATCTCTGACAACTTAATCTTTCTTTCACTTTTGTTTTTATGGATTATTACTGCTAGGCATTGATGTGCATGTTATTATACGTATTAAATAAAGATTCGATTACCAGTTACTCAACTGTTAAAGAACTCATATTTTCAATTGATAAATAATATTGTAAACGTTGTAATACAAAATTCTATTTATATGTTAGAAAACCATGCGTTTTCTTCGTCATATCATTAATCTACTAGTTCCAATAATTTAAGTAAAACCAGAAAACTGCCATCAATCATTATTTCGATCATAATGTGTCCATCATATTTATTTGTGATTAAAAACTATCACCTCATCTTGCGTTCTTTTAGAATGCCTTTTTTTGCTCCCTTCTCCTCCTCCTCCTCGTCAAAAAAAAAGTTCGTTTCTATCAGAATTATTGAAATTAAGACAAATGTATGAGAGAATAAATTGAGGTTAAATCTTTCACAAATATTATGACTTTTTGTTTGGTTCGCCGTTTTTTCCAAAAAATTTTCTGTCTGTTTGTCTGATCGCACATTTCAGAATTCTCGAAAGAGTTTCATCGTAACCAATTGCTTCTATTTATCTGAAAGAGGATTTAAAGCTGTAGTGCCTTGTGGAGCCAGTTTTTTTTTTAACTTAAGCTTTATTATTATTATTATTATATAAACGAATCCTATAAATTGATGATCACTTTTTGAGAATTTTTTAAGGTATTGAAACTGGCATCCTTTTTCTCTACATAAAAATAATAATTTAAGAAAAAAGGATTCTGTCCGGTATTGCAGTCTGACTTGCTCTTTCAAATAAAAATCAATAAAATATATAGAATCAGGATCTACAAGAAATTTGAGGTTGGCAAATGAATTATTTTGTATTCCTCTAAACGTCATGGTATAGGATTGAAAATTTTAGCATTGCTTATCCACTGCAATCCTAAGCTATAGCAAAAATTTCATATGATTTGACTATACCTCGCCTATGATCAGTTTTTGAGGATGGAGAAAAGAGGGCTTAATAAAACAATGAGTATAAAAAACGCAGACTAGAGAAAGATGTCATTATAAGATTTGTTTCTTTCCAACAATACTGTTTCTTTATAAGCAAACATAAAAAAGCAACTTTGAATATCGTCACATCCCATCATTTTATAGATCATTGTATTTCAATGATTTTTTTATATAGGGGAAAATGTTGGATTGATTTCAGATGCTTGAGAAAAGCATCCAATTAATAAACTATCATTGAAAATAATAGTTTATTATGGAAGGCATTGCTTCTTTTCATAAGATTGGTGTTTAGATGTCTCGAAATTCTTATTTTTTGTATCTGAATAACAACACTCATATACGATGCAAAGCTTTGATTTATCATGAATAAACATTGACTTTGTCATTGTGTCTCTCATTTTTTTTTCATCATAGCCATCGACATAAAATAAATTTCTTTTTCTTGTGTAAGTGTTACCTGCCTTAGTACAGAATACGATCTAAAATAAGTACTGAAGTACAAACCGAGCAATTTGGATTCATTCTCTTACAATAAATAGAAAAAAAAACAAAATTTTTTGACAGTATCACATATCACTAATTCGTACATTAAAATCACAATTATTAAAGTATAATTCATATGGGATTATTATATTTTAACAGAATCGGTTCTTAAAAGTAGAATCAAATTCGATTAATCGAGTTGTGGCATCGATGGGCAAGTCGTTTTCTAAAGTCATTTGAGAAATCTTCTGTAATTATTTTGCAGCTAAAGAATATGCTACTAATTCAAATGCAGTACTGTTTAGAAATCTTCAGGCTACAAACGGTATATTCAACAAGAATTCTTCTATATTTAGAAATTATCATGTTGCTTGTCTAAACGCGATGACTTGAAAATCAATTTATTGTTTTTATAAAGACACTACGGTATATTTAAAGTGTAAAATTCTTGTGGAATATGCTAGTTTGTGATCCGAATATTTTTGAATAGAACTATGTTTGAATTAGAAGCATAATCATTAGCTGAAATTAATTACAGAAGACTTTTTAAATAATTTGAGAAAATGACTTGCCAATTTCTAAGCTTTTATGTTAATATTCAAGAGACCTTCTGTCCATATTGTCTTATTCATCGAATAATAATGATTTTTTAATGGCTCAAAGATATGTTTATCGATCAGACACCAGATCTGAAAGTGCAAGTTCGAATGAACATGAGGCAAGATATATAATAGATGAAGATGAGTTAGAACGGTTGGGTTGTCGTATGTCACACATGGAAGTTTTCCAGCATATACAGAATGCAAGCGTAAATGTCAATAATCCAGAAATGCGACTTCAACATTGTTGTTACGTACAATCAGTTGGCAAAATTCCAAATTATAGAAATAAGCCATCATCAACAGATTTTCAATTGGAAGATGTTGAAAAATATCTTGAATCAGCCATTCTTTATCAAAATGTAACTGAACTTCTTCAAAAACGTGAAGAATTTGCAGTTGTTGAAGATGATTTTGGACCAACACTTACTCAAATGTTGATTCGTGGAAAGAAGCCATCCTTTTCAAATCTAGTAGACGCGTGCAGAAAATTCGATCAAGAAGATTATATCAATATACATCTTATGACAACTGAAATATCTTAATGACATTTTCTGTGAAAGAACGTAAATGAAGATGATGCTAAAACATATGCATTTGCTATTGCATTTTATACAGGTGCATATAGTGAAATGCTCAATCTCAGTGCAAATATTTTTGCTCGACGATGGCAACGAAATAAAGCAACAGATGCAGAAAATGTACAAGTTGATAATAATGCTGCTATGATTATGTATTACCTTATTAAAGGTCTTTCACATATTAATTTTCATTAGGGTCGAGTGGTACGATATGTTAAATTGAATGAGAAAGATCTTAAAGATTATCAACCCGGTGAAATTCTTACATGGCTTCGATTTAGTAGTTCTGATAAAGGTGATGATAACAATGCTAAACATCTTAGATATTTTAAAGAACATAATACTAAATTTATTATTCATTCATTAACTGGTCGAAACATACGAGATTTTTCTAATTGTGCTAAAGATGAAGATGAAGTTCTTTTTTTACCTCATTCCACATTTCTTGTATGTCATAGTGAAGTTAAAAATAGAAAAAAACATTATTTATATGAGACAGGTAAAATAATCTATTCAATTCTAATATATTAAAATGAATGATTATTATAGATTGAACTTGGTCTTTGCAAATATGTTATATTATGGGTTGATGACCGTATATTCCATGAATGGTGGGAAAATAAAGGACGTATGGAAAAAGCAAGTACTCTTGGTACTCAAGTTAATGTTCATTTCATGCCAAAGTCTACAACTGAAGATACATTGGCCTTTCTTCGATCCGAATTTGGAAAACGATTAAAAAGTAGTGAGACATTTCGAATTGTCACGGATATGAATCGAGATAATGAGAGTTCACCAAACGATGCTGGTATTCGTCTACTTTGTCAAGTGCGAAAGCTTGGATTTCATCAGATATGTCTTATATTTACTAGTAATGCATTGGAAGGACGCAGAAAATTAAAAAAAGTTTTTCAATGAAATCAGTTGAATGACATCAAAATTACCGAAGATCCGGCAGATCTCGAACGATTCGTTCTTTTCAAATGAATTTACCACATTGAATTTTATTTTATCATTCGTAAAACAATTTTGTTTTTTGGCAGTTTAATATCATTAGATTTTTGCCCTGACGTGACATTTTCCTTCAACATTCTTTTCTCAATTTAACTTTTATATACTTCATTTAATCAATTAAAATAATATCCATACATTTTGTTCTTTGTCTTTCAATCAAAGGAACGAAATTGTATATTAAATCGTAATTTTTCATTAGCAAACTGACTGGTTTGCTAACCTCCCTCCACAGAAAAGAAGCCAACTCCTAAGATTAGGATTTTCCGGAGATACTAAAGGTTCACTTTGTACAAAATAAACGCAAATCAATGAAAAGTGTCAGAATATACATATTTCTATTAATTAACGAAAAAACTGATCTCAACGCAAGCTTCCTTTCAAACTTATAGCTTGCGAAATAAAGGTACCCCCATAGGCTTCTATTCTGTGACAGGGAGTTTACTCAAATCATTTGACTTTCTGTGTTAACTAATTATTAAAAGACACTTCAAGTATAGAATCTTGGACGTAGAGCATCTATATTATTATTAGAGTTGATAACATATTATAATTGAATTCATACTCTCTTCTCTGTTTCACCAAAGATGCGATAAAAGCAGTCGAAAGTTGATGACAGCTAGAGCATGAAAGACGTTGAGTTATTATGCGCTCAAGACGTATTCGAAAAGCAGTTCAAGTTCTACGGATGCTATTTTTATGCATCTAATATGCGAATCATTTGTAATGATAAATCTTCCATACCGATGATGGTGCTTCCTTTATCAATCAAATAACGCATATAATCTAGATGACGTTGTTCCATTATTTCACCTGCCACTAGTAGTGGAACACCGGGCGGATATGGTATTACATTCTCTACTAGTATATGTCCTACTGCTTCATTAAGAGGAATGGTGCGCGTTTTGGTTGAAAGATAGGCATCGCGTAAGTTGATCGCTGGAAGTGGCAGACCATCTGGTGGCTTGATTGAAAAACCATCATGATCAATAATCGGATGCTTTTGTCTAGTCAGACTATGTAATGCATCGAGTAATTTATCGACAGTTGATTCCGTATCAGCTATCGTAATTGAACAGATTACATGTTTGACATCAGCAAATTCCACTTCGATTCCATATTGATGTCTGAGAAGAGAACTGGCCTCAAAGCCACTGAAACCTGCGTCGCTCACACGAATGATAAGTTTACTTGGATCAAAAGCAAAAATGTTATTGACACCAACTAACTCATCGCCATAGCACCACAAGCCATTCATCTGTCGAATAGCATCGCGTGCTTTTCGTGCAAGAGCAATAACAATTGACAAACGCTCACGACCTTCTGTAGCCATTTGCATACGAGTCGCATCTAATGAAGCAAGCAAAATTGAACTTGGCGAAGAACTTTGCAGAAGCGGCAGTACTTGTGCTATGCGTGCTAGATTAACAAAACCATTGTCGTTAACATGCAGCATCGCTGACTGTGTAAGAGAACCTTGTGTTTTATGTGTACTATGTACGATGATGTCTGCTCTTAAAGAGACCGCTGATTGAGGCAAATCCGAATGAAAGCCAAGATGCGAGCCGTGAGCTTCGTCAACAAGAAGTGCTACTCCATGTGAATGAGCGAGATGACAAATAGCCGCTATATCTGGCATAACACCATAATAATTAGGAGAAGTTAAATGAATAGCAACGACATCAGGATGTTGTTTGAGTAGAACTTCAATCGCCTCGACACTTACCGATAGTGGAAATCCAATATCAGGATGATAATCAGGTTCAATATAGACGGGTATTGCACCAGAAAGTACAATTCCACCATACGCAGATCGATGCGAAGCACGTGACATTATGATCTTTTGATTGGAAGCAGTCACACCCATAATAGCGGCCATATTACCCACTGTCGAACCGTTAATGAGAAAGAATGTATGATCAGCATTGTAGGCGGCAGCCGCTAGTTTCTGAGCTTCGAGTAATGGTCCTCTTGGTGAATGCAAATAGTCGATATTTTTATTGATTTCTACCAAATCGGCCGGATGTAAATCGCCACCAAAATACTCTAGTAGCAATGAATGAGGTGCCTTAGTACCCTTGTGACCTGGCATGTGAAATGAAATTGGCCTATGAGCTTTCTCGACCATTAGACTTTCCAAAAATGGCATTCTTGTTTGATCAGGTGTGAATGTGGCACTTACCACTGTTGGAGAAATAATATCTGGTTCAAGTTCCATTCGAATACTTTTTATGTGTCACACATTTGCAGATACGATATGAGATATGACAAGTTGCTATCTGTGTATGAATTTAGTAATAGTTTTTATATTCTATCTCGTTATTTTCTTTTGTTTTTTTTTATCATCGTCCTTTTTGTTATCTAATATTCTCTTTTGTTTTACTTGCTTCTTAACTTCGTTACAAGCAACTTTTGCTTATAAATTCTTATGCAGCATATGACTTTTTCGTTCCGTTCTTCTAGACGACAATAAACTGATGTATTACGACAAAATGTGTTATTGATGTTATGTAAAACGACTACCAACATTTTGACTATTCTTACTGTTTTCACCTTTACCTTTCTCACGTCACAACAACCGAGAAAAATTCTCAGTCAATAAAAGGGTAATGCGTGCAAGGTTGTGTTGACAATGGATTCTGACAATTTAATTTGACTAATGAAGAAAAAAAAGCTACTGAAAAACAAAGCAACTATTCAGATCTGGTTAATATTGCATTCTTTTTTTTTTAATTAGATCACTAAGAGAAAAGAGATGATATATTTTCAAGTATTTGACTTGTAAAAAATCCTTGATAAAGATTGATTGCTCATCATTTAATAGTTTGAATATTTATTGATAAAAGTCAAGTCTGAAAAGTGATCTTCTATATAGTTAGTACAAATACAGCTATGCCTTCCTGATAATGTCAAATTTTCGAGAAATATTTTAAGAATTCTGAAATCATACGAAACATCTTCTTTAGTTCTAAACGTGTGTGTGATTATTTTGTGTCAGCACTTTGATCATTTGAGAAGTTTAATCATATAAACTTCGTAATACAACATTTATAGATTGATGAAAACGATAGTTGTATCTGAAGTATTTCGTTAAAAAAGTTACTGAGGGTGAGATACAGAGCTGCATCCTAATCAATCTCATCGAATTCTGGATAAATTGCAATGAAACATGGCATTTTTTCTCTGAATTTTAATTAACACATTTATTGTCTACGCTGATCATCAATTTTATAATTACACAACACGTCGATCAATTATTGAAATTAGCAAAATTCTACTTTCTATTATGAAGGTTAAATTTTCTTGTATAAAAGTGAACATATTTTAAAGAAATCTATTTTTCAACATCTTGGCAAGATAGGATGAAATGTCCTAGAATGAATCACTCAATTGTTATTTAACCACTCATGAAGATGATGAATGCATAATCATGTTTGATCAAAATGAATTTATTTGTTATTAAACTATAAAAATAAGGTTGTCTAGTTTTTGTTTCATGATTATTTCTTAAGTATTCGATATAAAACCTTGAGCTGTTTGATTTTATTTGACTGCATAGCAGAAGAGTCCATCGTAGCTAGAAGCATTTTTTTTTCTCTGAAAATTTGATATACATGATTACTCTCTTCTGTGGAATGGTAATTTGTTTCTTGAAGATATCATCTTTTACAAGACCTTCTGAAAGCCAATCTTCATCGAGTTTAAGTTAAGCACAGTATACCCCAGGAATACGACAGTGAATGATCACTTTCGAACCAGATATGAGTATACCATCGAGAGGTTCGAAGATTTGGCATTTACGCTCTGTAAATAAACCATAGGTTAATAGAAAAGACTTTACTTTTATGATATCCATTGGTGCATGTAGACTGAATTGAATTGCACAAGACTATGTGCTCTTATTAGTTTCATTTCTCATTTTCTGTTGTGGGTGTGGGTGTGTACCTTCTCTTCATTACAACTACACCCTGAACTATGGTCGTCTGACAAGAGATGAAAAAAATCTAACACTTCAATGCTTTTGTCTGTCAGCAGAGAGTTTAACTTGTTTTTTTTCGGCTGATACAACTATATGTGAATTTTTATCGAATATGACCAAATGTCATTAATATGCATCGCTTCGTCCCCTTCAACATTTGCATATGATTTTGTAGAGCATTAAACGAAGAATCTTGTTTTTTTAAAGTCGAAGTCTGTACGATGAAAACTAAAAGAGATATTAATGAAACATTAAATGGGAAATTGATTCTGCCACATTCATCACTTCTTCGATTAGCAACAACTTTTAAAACTTTTCAAGCAAATGATCTGCTGGCCAAAAGTGGAGACCAAATACTAGTGGCTCGGTTTTTGTATCATATCTTTGTCTTGTTTCCAGCTGCCCTCATAATAGTGTGCTCTCCAATCTTACGCATCCTTTATTAATTGGAGACGATGTATATGTACTTCCGCTGTACGCTTTCGCACCCCATCTCAGTCCCAAAGGCAATCAAGATCCGGAAGCTCGCATCGCACACTATTATGAGGGCAGCTGGAAGTACATATACATCGTCTCCAATTAATAAAGGATGCGTAAGATTGGAGAGCAGTTTCGATGGTTCGACTCTATGATGCTTCCTTAGATAATCAAGAATCACATCGGTCCACATTCCTGGCCCTGTCCAATTCATAATGAGATCGTAAGACATATTGAGAGTGTGCATTTGAGGCGAGATGGCAACTATTTTTTCCACCATGTTACGAAGAATTGGATGGCCAGGCACAGCAGCGAATGTCCACATGCAGAATTGAAGAGGTCGTGCAAACATTCCCTTCCAATTACTTGGATTGTTCCATTCGAGACCAGCAATAAATTTCACGTGCTTCTGGTTGTCGTTCTCGTTGATCCATGTATTAATAGGGCGCAGACATTCCGTGTCCTTGTCTGAATACACTCCCCCAAGAATCATGACGGCTATTACTTTGAAAAGATCTGCTTTTAAGATGGGTTTTGGCATCGACGTGTAAACTTGTACGACATTTGAAGGCATATGCTTTTGAATGAACTCATCTGCTTCTTTGTCACCGAACGAGTGATAAGTATGATTGGGATTGAGATGAAAGAAGGATGATGTCTTGTAATTAGAGAACTTTGTCGGACTTTTCTGAATTATGTTAGCCGGAATTCCAAGCTTTTGTCGTGGTTCGTGTGTAGTCCGATATACAAGAAATATAATTGGCGTAATCGATAATAATGTAGCCAGAAATAAACGTCGAGAAGTACGATGCATATCTTAAATTGTCATTTTTTTTATCCGCGGCCTAAAAAAACATTAGAGAACGACTTTATAGGTTCGACTTGCAGCATCAAATTGAGACGAAAAGCTCGTATTTCTGCCTATATCGACTTCTTTTCCATTATCTACATAGGAAGAGTCATTGCTTGAAGAAATAAGACCGTATATTGAACTGTACAATCAATTTAATACCCTCATTTTGATAAAATTTCGTAGAAAATTTGAGAACAGGTGTAAAGCCTCCGAGTAACAATCCCAGGTCGAACATGCACGCTCGTAAACGGTCGTTTACGAAAAAAAACGGAGATATACGGAGGTCGTGCACAGCTTCCGTATGCGATGCGCGTATACGGAGCGGTACGATGAGAAACGGACTCCGTATACGGAAATCGTACAAAAATACGGAGGAATTAAGAGATAAGCATCTGGGCTCCGTATACGGAGCTATACGACTGCTGTATACGGTCGTATGTCACCGTGCATGGTCGTATCGGTACCATAACCGTACAATTTAATGAGCAGCACATGTTGTGCAACTCACATATATTTTTCGAAGAAGAATAGTGAGTATAAGTTTAAATGCGAGGTTTTTCGACTTCTCTTCCCTGTCCCATTACAGATCTTAGCATCCGTGGTCAAAGGTTAAAGATCACTGGGGACAAATGCTGCCATAATAACGAACATATAACAAGTATCAGACTCTTTTTACACAAACCCTTAGCGACGGAAAAGGTGTTGAACGGCGTTAACAAACACGGCTTAGACTGTTCTGGAATATTTCAAAGCTTTCCTTGAAATTTAAATGGCTGGGCTACATTTTTGAATGGTGTATATAGTGGAGCGTCTAATTTTTGCTCGGATTTAACGAGTAAATGATGTATATCAAAGATGGATGATGACTGATGATGTATTGATTTACTACAATCATCGTAGGATCAAGAGTACCTGCCTAATTCGACTTATAATATAAATGGACTGAAAAAACATCAACAGCGCTCAACCTCACCAAGAATAATTTTTTTTCTCCATTTATCATTTATTATAAAAGTGATAAATGAAGACTTAACTGTAAGTTTATACAAAAGGTTTATATTTTTTTTTCTTCATTTATCATTCATTATAAAAGTGATAAGTGACGAAGACTTTATTACAAATTTATGGAAAAAATATTTTTTTTTCTCCATTTATCATTGATTATAAGTCTGATAAATAATAAATGAAAAAAAATATAAATATTTTGTATAAAATTACAGTAAAGTTTTCATTTATATACATATATTTCTTCATTTATTATTGATTACAAAAGTGATAAATGATGAAGACTTTACTGTAAATTTATACAAAATATTTATATTTTTTACTCCATTCAACATTGATTATAAATCTAATAAATGATAAGTAAAAAAAACTATTAATATTTTGTATCAATTTATAGTAAAGTATTCATTTATGACTTTCGTAATCAATGATAAATGAAGAAAAATATATATACACATACTTTGCATAAACTAACAGCAAAGTGTTCGTCATTTATTAGATGTATAATCAGTAATAAAGG